TCCTTTACATGACAAAGGGCAGGAGGTTTCCATTATTGTTAGTAGTGATTTGAGGCTGTGTAAAAATTGTGTTAACTTGAAGAAATGTTTACGGGAGAATATGGATGACATCTATGCTGGTAAACTCTGCAGTAGTTGAGGTCAGATGGGAGATATCACAACTGTAGAAAATCAGATTTGGAATCATGTTCTAAGAAGTGAATCTTCAAGCCAGGTAGTGGTGGCACACGACTTAAATCCCAGTACCCGGGAGGCAGAGACAGGCAGATCTCTGTGAGTTCAAGGCCAGCCTGGTTTACAGAGTGAGTTCCAGGACAGGCTTCAAAACTACAGAGAAACCCTGTCTTGAAAAAACAAAACAAGCTGGGCATTGGTGGCGCATGGCTTTAATCTCAGTACTTGGGAGGCAGAGGTAGGTGGATCTCTGTGAGTTCGAGACCAGCCTGGTCTACAAGAGCTAGTTCCAGGACAGCCTCCAAAGCCACAGAGAAACCCTATCTCGAAAAACCAAAGATAAACAAATAAATAAAAAGAAAAAGAAAAAAACAAAACAAAACAAAACAAAAAAGAGTGAACCAAGAGGAAGGTGAGGGTGGATGTGATCTAAATATGTTGTACACATGCATGAAATTACCAAGAAATTAAGAAGAAAATCAATCAAACTGCCTTTGGGGGGCATACAGAGAACAATGAAATTGGAGAAGGAATTTGCTCACGGATATTGTAACTGTTTGAGTTGAAGAATTTGGGGATCATCTCTCTTTCTTCCCAGTGTACATCTACTTACACTTTGACTTTGACTTCGTATTCAGGTACTTCCAGTGCCTAGCCTGACATAGAACATAGCTGCAAGTGAATGAATGAATGGATGGGACAAGATGAACTTTATCTATTTTGTGATCCAACCTCCAATATTCCCCAACATGGGCTTCAAACTGTTGCTTTTCATAATTGTACCTAATGCGACTCTCGCCTCTCAGTTACAACAAGCTCCACTCCAAAGACACTGTCTGCCGAATGCTTTTCCCTTCCAGAAGACTGGGGTTGGCAGTAAAGTTTTCCTGTGTGGTTAGTGATTGCAGGAAAATGCAACTTACAATGCAAACACGAGAAAGCGCCAATTTTTGAAAAAGATTCAGAAGTAAGGCTAGCTATGTCCACTCACTATAACCAGACATGGCATTTAATTATTATCCTGTATGTTAAATCAGGCTAAGCTAGCCAAACCAACTCATATTTCTGGCATGAAATAGCTAGTTTGGCTGCTTATCCTGACCAAATCAATAGAAACTGGTGCCAAATCCTTGTTTTATTGTGTGATGTGTTGGCACAGACATATTCTTCTTGTTCAAGAAAAGAAAATGGGGGGGGGGTGTACTTGAGTACAAATGTAGCCATTGGGCTTCCTCCCAGCTTCTCCCCAGAGCTTCTGGAATGCTAATACACACCGGGGATGTTTGGGAAGACTGGATTTCAAGGCAGGACAAGAATGTGGCTTATGGAGCCTTAATGCCTCAGCCCACAAAAAGGAGTGTTTCAAGTATAAAAATCTGCCACAGATCTCTCTCTAAGTTAGTCTGGGAATGTAGCTTAGTGGTAGAATAGTTGCCCAGCATGGTACTAGCTTTGTTTACTCATGCCACAATAAACAAACAAATAAATAAAACTTTAAGAAATAAAATAAAATGTGACTTCAGTGGCTCTAACTGTTATAGTATATTCTCTGGAATGTTACAAAACTAAACGCAATTAACGATTTTATTCAACTTCATTTCCATTTGTACAGACCTCAATCAAGGCTTTTGAATCTAAGACCACGAAGACTTCGAAACATTTCTCACGGGAAAATTTCTTGTATGTCAGCGTGAGCTCTGATTCCTCACCATGATGCTCTTGTCTGATACAAAACAGAACAGCTCTGACACAATATGACTGTACTCAGAAGACGTAGAAGAGAGCCTTCCCAATCACCGTTTCTTTAACAGCAACGAACACGGTATTTAGCAGCTCATTCCAGACATAAGCTTTGTTTAGTTTAGAATTACCAATGGGTGAGTCAGAATAAAAAAAAAAAAAAAAGAAAAAACAGCAAAAGCCTGATAGAGGTCCAGAAATAGTGGGGCATTTGTCAAGCAATGGCACTGATAAGCAAACACAAGTTTTGATATTAGTATGGCTGACTGAACTAGTTGATGTACTTTGCTTGGCCTCACTGTTCTGTTTGGTGAACTGTATCAAACCTAAAAACTTGGGAGGATCTCTTAAAACTTGGTATAACTAAATTCTCTTGAAAAAAAAATGGTCTATTTTGTGCTTGTGGACACATAGTAGTGACTGGTGGAAGCCAATTAGTCTTCTATTTCTCAGGTCTCCACAGCCTCCTTGCCCCACTTTTGAATACATTATTCTGCAGTGCAGTCACCCTCCACTTAATCATCTCTCTTAGCCCTGCTCTTTCTCCTGTTGAAGAAAATATTTCTCTGTATCCATGACTATCGAAGTAGGAAAACAAAAAGTAGCCTGAAAGGGTATCTTCGTATGTACATGTCACCTACTTGATGACTGAGAGCTTTTGAGATTGCTTTTTCATTCTTGAATAATGGAGTCTTACTTTGTTACCTCCCAGGGCAACATATTTCCCTAGTAACATCTCCCAGTAAGGCCCAGGGAATCTTCTAGGAGGTCTGTGTGATTTGCAAACATTTCCTCCTCTACATTCTCATTTTTAGATTGTTTTGTGTTTAAAACCACAAAGGAATGCCTCATTGAATCAATCATTCATTTTAATTGATCACTGAAAGTGTCTAGATTACTGTGCAGCTCAGGGATTACTCGTTGGAGACAACACAGTAAAAAAAAAATCTTTGGCTACACTCTGCCACATGTCCCTTTCCTTGACCCAGTCCTGGCTGAGAGATATGACTCTTAATAATCCCATGTGACAGCGCTCTCAACTTGCACCTACATTATATTATGAGTTCATTTTATAACAGTTGCTTGCAACTTGCTGTTCTGTTTTTATTTTTTTTTAATAGCCATATTATAAGGCTTGCTAATTTCCCCAATGTTTGACCAAAATTTTCTTTTGAAGCACTGAAAGAGATTACATCAGAGTAAATTTTTTCCCTGAAAATTATTCAACCAGTGCTCTTGTCCCTTTAATAAAGTTGATTGTTAAGTATTTAAAACACCAGGGAACTCCACTTCAGGGGAGAGGCCGGCTGCTTCTAAGGGGAAGCAATGCTTTTTCTATCTGTGTTGTACAAGGGTTTCTATGTCTCAATTTATATCATATATATATATATATATATATATATATCAGACAACTGTGAGAAAGCAGAAACATGGGCTCCACTCTAGAAGAAACAGTAGAGAGGGATCCAGGATGCACCAGTGTGTCCAGGAATAGCAGGTTCTCAACCTACAAGTTAGTTGCTGGGGATTATGCAGGGGGATTCATGGTTTCACTCAATAAGATCTTAGAGATGGGCTCTGACCTGTAAGTGATTTCTGTAGATTTCCTTTTTTGAGAAAAATGGCTAGCAAAATGAAAATGTGCCCCAGGCCAACATTTGGTACAGCTTCTTGGATAAGAATTCTAGCTTCTATAATTACGCCTAGTCAGCAACTGACCAGTCCAGTTTCATAAACAGGTACCCTAAAGGGTGACAAGACTGGCTTGTGGGTAGTTTATCCTCCACTCTGAGCTTGTGTACATGCAATTACTTGTTTTAGGCCCTGGGCAAGTGGTAGCCAGTCCAAATCAGCAAAGCACGGAGGAGTAATCTGACATAGTTTCTGTGCCATGTAATGGCCAGCCCTCCAAGGCATGCGGTAGTCAGAATGCTGCCCCATGACCTTTGAGTTGCTCTGTGAAGCTGAGTTGCTCTATGAAGTTCTTGTTACACAGATATCTTGAAAGAGTATAACTCTCTTTGAAAACTCGTGAGAAGAGGGGGAAAGACTCAGCTCACACAGAGGTGAACTGGCCTGCCCAGGAAGGACAATGACCACAGGTGGGAAAAGGGGTCAGGGTCAATGGTACCTGAGGTCTGGAGCTTTAGCCACAGACCCAGACACCGTGCTGCTGGGGCAGTGTTTATGGAAATTCTTTCTCCAAGTCAGAGATGTGCTGTGGGGAAGGAGAAGAGTAGGCAGGAAGGCATGTACAGTAACAATTTTTTTTTTTCCCAGCAACTTCTTGCTCCAACTATATTTGTCAACCACATAGCTAATGACTCTTCAACCTGTACCCATGCAGGAGAAAGCTGTACCCTCACTGTCACAGTAAAGATATCCTGTCCTGCAAAGCTTCCACTGTCGGAAAATCCAAGTGTCTGTGGATGGGGTAGCCAATGGGGACATTTCCCACCCCCTCCCCATTCTCCCACCAGCAATCAAAGGTAGTGGGGGTGGGCGGGGAAGCCGGAGAAGGAAACAAAATCATGCGGGCACACCAGGAAAAGATAAGTGTTGGTGGCAGCAGGGTTGGTGAGTGTGTGGTGGGCATTACCTCTTGATGAGGCTTCCAAGAAGGCTCCCGCTCATGTCCTGGTGGCTCTGAGAACAAGCATTCTTGCATCAATAGCTAATAGGCTGTCCAACCAGATGTTATCTGGGTGGGATAAGAGGGTGAGAAAACAGACCTGTTGTACGCTGTTGTCAACTATATTGATGTGGTCAGAGGAAGGCAGGTTGTGTGGTGTTTAGCAGGGTACCTCATTCGTGGGGAGGTAGACCAGATTACGTGGCTGTTTAAATCCATTTCCTCTTGTGATTGGTAAAAATACGAGAGTCATAATCATTCATGCATTACTAAAGCCCTCCTTTCCATCGTTTCGTTTCAAAGAGACTTTTTTTTTTCTAGAACAGAGAGCATGCATCCAGCAGAAACCTAAAGCAATGGCTTTTCTAAGTATTCTCTTGCAATATGCACACTTAAAAACAAACAAACAAACAAACAAACAAAAAACACAGCAAACACTGCATATGGCAAGTACCTGTGACAAGACTGGAGATGATAAGGGGGAGGACCAACATCTGCAGCATCCGCATCAGGAGCTCTCCAGGAAAAGAGAAGTATTTGACCTCTCTGTAGCTCATTTTATATGGTCGGAGGGCAAATCCAAGGATTGTACCTGAAGGGAGAAAAAAAAGAAAGAAAGAAAGAAAGAAAGAAAGAAAGAAAGAGAAAGGAAAATTGAGTCTTTTAAGACTTAGGCAATAGTCTCTAGACAATCGGCAAGTATCTGGCTGGTGGCTACTCAAGTCTGACAAGAGTAATTTATTTAAGTAGAAATATTTATACGGTGTTGGCAGCAAGGGATGTATCTGTCTTTGTAGTTATTATGAAAAGGGTTTCTTGAGTCCAGGCACTTAAGTAGTGTTCACAGAAAAAGCGTTTCTGGGCCAAGGAAATGAAAAATGTCCCTGTCTAATTCAAAACTCAAGGAACCCGTTTTGACACAACTTGGTGTAGGAATGAAGAGGAGGGTATGATTGGCAGACAAATCAAACAGTCCTGAGCAAGGTGATGTGGCTCAAAGAGACCCCGTGAGAAAGCTCCACGAGGGTAGATGGTCTGTATAGCTGCTAGCATAACTACTTCTAAAACACAGTTAAACTTTCCAATTCTCAAAGACCCTGGCACTCTCCTTGTTCAGCTGTGTCACCATCTCCCTGTCTGTACACACCACATTCTCTCTTTCTCTCCACTACATGGTCTTGACATTGCCTTGGCAACTATATTATACAGACTTGCTATTTGCTGGCAAGAAAAGACTTCAAAATGAGAAAAAAGAATCCTGAAGATTTCCTTTTGAAAACTCTGAAAGGGGTGGGTACAAAGAAAAGACTCCTTAGCTTTCCTTTTGGTCTTGAAATTTTACAATATTCTTTCAGAATAATAAATTTGTAAATAAGCTAGATGATGTGTGATACCTTTTGACATTCAGGAATTAATACAACTATCAAATACATTTACTCCCTCCTCTCTTTCTCCAACTTACTTTCTTTGCCCAAGAAAAATCGAATCATTCTAATATTGTAAACACTTTCAAATATTTGCCTTGAATTGCAATTTCACATTTTGAAAAGACCAAGGAGTAAATTATAGAGGAAATAAAATATTGAGGTAACTAGAAGCCAGAGGTCAGGGTAGTAACGGGGAGAGTGAATCCGAGGTTTTCATAGGAATGCAATACGTTCTTACAGAAACTACACTTGCCTAATTTCTTATGAAATTGCTTCTCTGCCTTATGAAATGGAACACAAAGTTCACTTCAATCACCACTGCAACTCCAATTTCAGTTCTTGGATATCAGCAACCACGACTACCCATTCTCCAACTGTGATCTTGTAATAAAGAGCACCTCGATGTAAGTGACTAGAAAATCCAGTTGACCCAGGCCTCAGGTATTCAGGAAAATACTTAACAGTTTACTGAAATGTAAGAGTAATAGGCAAGAAAGAAAACCAGATTGGGGAAATGCCGGAGAGCTGGCTCTACAGTTTGAATTAAACGGAAATCATTGACGCTCCCTGAGCTCTTACTACAATTTAAATAAAGGGAAGTCATTGATGCTCCCTAAACTCTTACTGCATGCCAGGCATTGTTGTCAGTACTTTTACTCCTGCTAGCAAGTTAATCCTCACAACTCCAGGATGCAGATGCTAGTTCAGCAAGGTAGAGAAACCTGATCATAATGAATGTAAAATTTGTCCAAAGTCAAATGTACTCTGGTGGCAGAGCTAGGATTTAAGCCCAGGCCATTTCTTCTCAGATCTCATGCCCCCACCCCCCATCTCGAACACTTCCCACCTCTCCTGGCAAACACTGTTAGTGATTCCTAGTGAGTTTATTTCTAGAATGTTCTGGTACATAATTTCATATATGGGCAACATGCAACTGACAAAGCCCATTCATTTTGTCAAATTGATATTGAACAGTGCACAAGAAGGACAATCAGGGAGGCCACATCTCAGGAGGTGGTGATGTTCTGTGTCTCCTTACAATCAACAAACTGGCCCTGCTGGGCAGTGCAACCCAGACATCTGCTCCTCTAGAGCATGCCTCAGTTTCTCTATGGGTTAGCATACAAAGCAAGGGGTTCAGTTTGGCACTTTCACACATATCATTTCCCTCACTACCTGCTCTGGGTCCCTAAGCCTGCTCTGGCCAGTTTCCTGTTTCCCAGAGGCCACCACCTTCTGTTTGCTTTTGTTTCTGTTTTCTTATGTATGTATTCCATTTCCCTCTCCTCTTTCCTCCCCTCCCTTAAGAACTGTCTCTTCCTTCCCTCTTCTTTCTAGTTTCATGACCTGTGGAGTCACAATGTAAACACACACAAACCACACCACACCTCAGTTTCACATGTAAGAGAAAAACATGGAATTTGTCTTTCTGAATCTGACTTATTGCACTTAACACAATTTCATTTCATTACATTTCCCTAAAAATAGTTTTATTTTTCTTTACAGATGAATATAATCCCATGTGTATATGTTCTATATTTTCTTCATTCTTCTGTTGTTGATGGGCATCTAGGCTGGCTCCAATTCCTGGCTATTGTGACTAGTACAGCAATAAATATGAATGTACAATCATCCCTATGAAATGAGGCCTTTTTAAAATCTCATTTTAAAGATTCCCCTCTTCCTCTAGTGCTGGTGATTGACCTAGGGCCTCATGCATGCTTGATACGCACTATGAACTACAACCCTAGTCCTATAATCTGCACCCCAAAACCCTTCTTTGTGGTGGGAAGAGCAGACACAAAGCAGCATTCATTTGTAAGGTATAGCTTCAGGACCAGCCTTTGAAGAGCGAGGGTATGGGGGGGGAGGGAGCAGATGGTAGATATACACTGTGAATCAGTTTTGTCCTGGATTATATTTTGTTGTGTTTACTGTACCTTCTTTGCCAAGTGAGTCATTTGTACTCTTGGGAAAGAGAAGCTTGTGTTCGGGAAGGGGGATATTTATTGAGCCCTTATTATGTGCTAATGGTAGTATTTAGTCCTCATCATAATTTTATTAGAGAGATATTATCATGTCAACTTTAAAAATTAATAAACTGATGCTAAGAAGGCAGTAACTTGCTCAAGCTTAGGAAGCTGGTAAGTAGCTGAACAGAAGGCTCCAGACATAAGCCATACTTTTTCTACTACATGTTGGTAAGTGTCTACCCAGTACAGATGCAGCTTTGTAGCCTGGGCCTGAGGCAGTTTTCAGGCAAACTTAAGTCCCTGGGTCCTCAGCCTCTTTAAGTGACATGCTGCTCACAGCCTTCAGTAATGTTGGACAGCCCAGGGTGCCACAAGCGTGCCTGGCACATCCTGGAACCCTTGCAGAGCTTCTTACTTGCTTTGCCCCCCCCCTTTTTTTTCCTTTAAGACCAGTGTTGCTTATGCAGCTCAGACTGGTCTGGAACTATGTAGCCCAGGCTGGCCTTGAAGTTGTGATCCTCCTGTCTCAGCCTCCCAAGTACTGAGATCACAGGCATGTGCCACCAAGTTGGCCTTATAAAATCCTCCTCTTAAGGAATATTTTAATTAACTAAATGATTTTATTAAATAAAATAGCCTGTCCCTCCCCACCTCCCCATTGTACCCTTTTTAATCACTGGGAAGCATCAAAGGTGGGAGGGACATGAAGTGAATAAAATGTGTCAGAGCCACACCCAGAGTGTGTGCCTGATATTTCATGATTCCAACCGCTCCATGTCTCTTGGCCTCTCTCAAGCCCTGTTAGCATCTCCTTCCTCGTCCCTCCTTTTGGAATTAATTGAATTAGGAACGGGTCTTTCTGGTTTTTTTCCCCCCCCCCCCCCCCGCCCTTGTATTGAAAACAGATTCTTTTCTCATACAATATACAGTTTCTCTTCTCTCTCCCTGTCTCAGTTCTTCCCCACCTCCCCTCCCCTCCAGGAACACTCCCTTTTTGTCTCTCATTAGAAAAGAACAGGCTGAGGGCGTCCAGCAGGTGATGGTGGACATAAGCCATACTTTTATGGCTTTTAAAGCCATACTTTTAAAGCCACACCTTTAATCCCAGCATTTAGGAGGCAGAGGCAGGTGGATCTCTGTGAGGTCAAGGCCAGCTTGATCTACAGATCGATATCCAGGATAGCAAGGGCTATACAGAAAAATCTTGTCTCAAAACAAAACAAAATAAAAAACAAACAAAAAAAGGGAAGGGAGGGAGGAAGAGGCCTCTAAGAGATAACAACCAAACAGCAAAAAAATAGAATAAAATAAAACAAAAACTATCACATCAAGGTTGTACAAGACAAACCAAAAGAAGGAAAAGAGCCCCAAGAACAGGCACAAAAACCAGAGACTGGCTCATTCACACTCTGAAGCCCCATAAAAATACTTGGGAGACAGAGGCAGGCGGATCTCTGTGAGTTCGAGACCAGCCTGGTCTACAAGAGCTAGTTCCAGGACATCCTCCAAAGTCACAGAGAAACCCTGTCTTGAAAAACCAAAACCAAACCAAAACAACAACAACAACAAAAATCACTAAGCCAAAAGCTACAGTAAATACACAGAGGACACGAGGCAGACTGTAGTAGGCCCTGTGCTTGCTGCTTTAGTCTCTGTGAGCTCATATGAGCCTTGCTCAGTTGTTCTAGAGGCTGTGTTCTCCAGGTGTCCTCTATACCCTCAGGCTCTTACATCTTTCAGAGTTCAGTCATAACAAAAGCTAATCATCTCTGGGCCAGATGGGTGACGAGGCCTCACAAGTGTGTTGCTTCACAAAAGTTGTTGAGGTCGAAACTATTATACACATCTCAAAGAACAACAGCCACTGAGAAGGCAGGTCGAGTCCCAACACCACACAGCTAGTGAACAGTGCCATTTCAGTGGGATTAGACAGGGTCAAGCTGTCTGCCTAAGGCCCTCTGTGACCATCTGAAGGGGCCATGGCACCCAGGATGTCCAATGCACAGCTTCGTCCTCTCACTGTCTATTCTGTCCTTGGCCTCTCAGAGTCATGCTACTGATTTAAGGAGTCAAAGTTATCACAACATGCTTGACCAGCTTTTATCTTTTTCAAGGCACAACACTAACAGACTAGGACTGTTTAGGACAACTAATTTTGGTGATTGAGAGAAAAGTGTTGTTGGTTTTACCTA